CTCCGCCCGCACACGCCGCCCCTGGCAGGGGGCCTGAACGCGCGCGAGGAGCCGCCGCCGCCGCTCGGGGTCGCCTGGAGCCCCAGATTCCCGAGCGCTCGGCTCGCATGGCAGCCGCCTCGGCGCCCAGCCCCGCGGCCAGCTAGGGGCGGCCCCACGCCCCCGCCCGGCCCCTCGGCGGAGCCCGTCGGATCCGGCCTCGCTCTGCGCCCCGGGGCGCGCCGCCTCCCTGCCGGAGGTGAGAACCGGGAGGACTGGGGCGCGCCGGGCTGGGGACACCGTGGGGATTCCAGGCCCTGCGCCGCCGCTGGGCGGAATGCGGCGGAGATAGGAAGGGGCCGTGGGAGCGAGGGGGGTGTCGGAGGTGGGGGGCGGAGACTGCTCGCTGCCTGGAACCGTCCCTCCCTTGGCCCCCGCGTCCCCTCCGTGCTCGAGGCCTCCTCTCTGCGCTGTCCCCATCCCCGCGGACCCCTCTGTCTCGACTGAGATCCACCCCAGCCATTCCCGCGCCCTGGCCTCGCTTTGCACTGCCCATCCTTCGCCCCCTTGTCGCAGACCCCGCTCCCCGGTTCCTGTCTCCAGTCTCCTCGCCTGCTCTACCCTTCCCCGCCCCTGCCCTCTCGCTGCCCGCACCCGCTTCTTCCGTCCCAGCGCCCCTCTCCCTCGTCGCCTCCTGTCAGTTGGAACCCGTATCCGTGCCGCTATCTCCGCTCCTGGCCGCCTCCCCGCCCCTGCTGTCCCACAGGTGCCCACACGTCTGACTGTCCATCCGTCCGTCCCTCCTGGGGCCGGCGCTGACCATGCCCAGCGGCTGCCGCTGCCTACATCTCGTGTGCCTGTTGTGCATCCTGGGGGCACCGGGTCAGCGTGTCCGAGGTGAGCGCGCCCCCGGGCTCCAGTCGCGGCCCTGTCCAGCAGCCATCGCTTGCACGTTGACCTCTGCCGGCCGGAGACGGCACTGCAGTCGCTCCGACCCGCGGGGCTGGCAAGACCCAGGTCGCCCTTTGGAATGGGATGGGTCTGTTCTATCTATCTTGCCCTGCCTCAGAGCTGAGTCCACCCAATTACTGGAACCCCAATCCTCTCTCGAGTCCCGCATCCCAGACAACCGTACTCTGACCCAGACTCACCCCTCCCACATCAATCTGTTGCAGCCGATGACTGCAGCTCCCACTGTGACCTGGCCCACGGCTGCTGTGCACCCGATGGCTCCTGCAGGTACCTATCCTGACCACATGCCCCAAACCCTTTGCTCCCCATTTCCCAGCCCTTCACACCCACAACCAGGTCAAGCCCCAGAACAGAGTGTCAGGGGCTTAAGACCCTACTGTTCATGCCCCGTCACCCCTATGGCAGATGGGCCAGCCTCCCCCACCTCCCTGCATGCCCCCCAACCCCAATTCCCCTTGGCCTGGCCTCTTGCTTCTTCTAGCTTGTCACTCCCCACTCCTTTACTCTCCCAAGTCTGATTCAGGGACTGTGAAACACAGCTCCTCCAGATACCAGGAGGGAGAGCTGAAGCTTAGAGAGTTTGGAGATTGGGCACCCTGAGGAAAGAGGGAGAGAAAGGAAAGAGATAAAGAGGAGAAATGGTTTAGCTTAGCCTGGAGAAGAAACGCTGCAGGGAAGTTGCTGGGGAGAAGCACTCATGATGAAAGAGGCTCTTTCTTATGAATTTGAGTAATTGACTCACCAGGTGGAGGTTGGGCAAATTCTACAGCAGGAGCAGTGTCTGGACATAAGGAAATGAGCTGACAGAGTGGGTTGCTTAATTAGCTGGGGGGTCTTTGAGACTCTACATCCTTGGAGGGCTTTATTTTATTTTTTTTACACTCTTTAAAATTTTGTTTTAGTGTAACCTTGGAGGGCTTTTTAAGAAAAGGTCAGGTGTTTGCCCTTTAATAGTCCTGATAACCTTTCAAGGTCATTCTTTTAAAAATGTTTATGAGCACCTCATACATGCCAGGAGTGGTATGGGAGGCATTTGCAGACATTATCTTATTTTCTTCTCAACCCACCCCTGTGAGGGGTATCCACAATTTACAGATGAGAAATTTGAGGCTCAGAAAGGTTACACAAAGTACAGAACCAGGACTCAAGGGATAGTGTCTGATGGTCTGATTCCATATATGTGTCCTATGACCCTGAACAGCTCTACGCCTACCTGGGGCAGGTCTGCTTTCCCTTGGGGGCTGTTGTATGTCCTCCTGGTTTCTAGAAGCCCTGGTCCTGCTGCCTCTATTTCCTCACATTGTCCCACCCAGAGCCCTGATCCTGTGCTTCTTTCTACCAGATGTGACCCAGGCTGGGAGGGCCTGCACTGTGAGCGCTGTGTGAGGATGCCTGGCTGCCAGCACGGTACCTGCCACCAGCCCTGGCAGTGCATCTGCCACAGCGGTTGGGCTGGAAAGTTCTGTGACAAAGGTAGGGGGAGAAGGGGTAGCTATTGGCTGGGGACCCCATGTGTCTTAGGAGACCATCCATCAGTATTTATTTATTTTATTTATTTAGTTAGTTATTTTTTGAGGCAAGAGTCTCACTCTGTTGCCTGGGCTAGAGTGCCATGGCATCAGCCTAGCTCACAGCAACTTCAAACTCCTGGTCTCAGGCGATCCTCCTGCCTCAGCCTCCCAAGTAGCTGGGACTACAGGCATGCACCACCATGCCCGGCTAATTTTTTCTATTTTTAGTT